TGCGACAAGGCAAAGTTAAAAACGAAATGCAGTAAAGAAAGATAGAAAAAGGATTATTTTCCTTCTTTTTTTTCTTTCTTTCTTTCTTTCGTTCGTTCGTTCTTCAATCTATAATAAAAAAAAATGGAGAATATCGGAACGGTAGAAAAGCACCAATAATATAGACGGTAAAAAGGAAAAACGCAACAGAGTGATGAAGAAAAATAGTAACAGAATGGAAGGAAATGGAGAAAAGAAAGAGAAAAACAAAACCAAATATAATCGGCTAATTTAAGAAAATCAGAAATAGATAGAAAAAGAAAAGACAAAAACAAAACAAGACAAACAAACAAAAAACAAAGCGTAGAACTGAAATACTAGATAAGAAGTTATTAAAAGATACACACAACACAGACAAATTAAGAAATCAATAAGAAAAGAAAAAATGTCAAAATGAAGCGAGAAGGAAGAAAAATAAATAAAAAGAATTTTGATTGGGAAATACAAATATAGACACCGATATTCAGAGAACTTAAAATGATTACTTGGTTACTTATTTTAGTGCATCATCTCAAAATCTAAATACCCGGGAAGTGTTCGAACAAAGGACGGAAAATGCGACACAGATTGAAAGACGAATTGAGACGGCCAAAGATGCATTCCAAAAGCTAAGCAGAGTATTAAGAGACAGAAAAACTCCGTTAGAAACGAAGAAAAAAAGTACTGAAATGTTATCGTGAGAGCTGTCTTCCTGTATGGAAGTGAATGCTAGACAATCTCTTCAAAGAAACTTGAAGAAACAGAAATCTGGTTCTACAAAAAGTTGCTGGTGTTCCTGGCCTGTTCCCGGTCGCCTCGTTATGATTCAAGTCGAGATTCCTGACCTCGCCATTTTGTTTTGCACCCCTGCTTTATCTCGACTGGGTCAGCTTTATCTTTTCGCCATGTCCATCTATATTTTCACCTTCCCATTCCCTTAGCGAGAGAGCCTCTTGATTTTGTCCAATGGGCAGAATACAGCGGCCTCTCCGTTTTGAGGGTTGGACGGGCCCTACTAACATCAGTTATGTTTAGTTTACTTTGGTGTTGAGTTTTAGTTTTATTATTGGGTCCACCTCCTCCCCTCTCATTCTTCATTATTAGAATTATATATATATATATATATATATATATATATATATATATATATATATATATTTATTAAAAATTGTTAAGGCATGGGGGCGCGTTTTGTAGGTTTCCCTTTGAGAGGATGCGGTATTATGGTGAATGGAGGATTGATTGGTGACGGACAAATTCTTATGGTGAATGTGGAAACGGTAATGTGTGAATGGGTCGTGAATCAGATTAGCTAGGTATAAGATAGTTAGTGACGACCAGCCTCAACCCCCCCACCATTTTGGCCTTGTGCCACAATTTTATTTTATATACAATAAATATCCTACAAAAGGTTGCTGATGATAATATGGACAGAACATGTTAACAACGACGAGGTTTTGGAGAGAATGGAAGCAAAAAGGAAACTTATAATTAATATCAGGAAGAGACAGTTGAGATTTCTCGGTCGCGTAATGAGGAAAGAGGACTTGGAAAATTTGACACTCAAAGGACAGATTGTTGAAAAGATGGAAAGAGGAAAGCAGCGCGTAAAATATTTGATGAGCTTGAGTAAATGGATGGTAGAACAGAGTTTGGGAGAAATAACAAAAAGACAAATCTTATTAAGAGCTACAAGGAACAGGAAGATGTGGAGGGCCATGATCGCCTACGTCCTTTCACTGTGATAAGCAGTGGTTGAGTGGAAGACTACATAGACAACACATGCTCGAAGGCCAACGTCTAACTCTTACGGATTATGCTTGCAAGAGAAAATTCAGAATTATTGCATTTCCTTTCTCAATAAAAGATCGAAACTTGTTAGCAAATATAAAAACGGGAATTTTTTTGCTGAGTCAGTTAGCTCTTGGTTGAGACAGAAAGAAAAAGAGAAAACGAGCGAGCGAGAGAGAGACAGAGAGAGAGAGAGAGAGAGACCTAACCAACGCCTTTATGCACTGTGCCATGTGTCCTTGAGGACATCTGGGTATGAATTTGTGGGTATTATAAACCTAATGTTTTCAGCAACCATTTTTACCAGTGCTCATATTGCAATTGCTGTTATGAAAAAACAAAAACAAAAAAATGCAATGATAACAGCAAATGCAATATGAGTGTCCAGTGACAGGACCCAAAGAGTGTGAGTTCAATACCAGGTTAAGGCAGTGGAGAACTTTCAGAGGGAAAATTAACAGGAGATAACTGATAACTGACATCCATTAAACATGACACGTGGAACTAGAACAGTCTACCCCAGTGAGCGAAATAAAGTGTTCAGTTCGACATTCCAAACACCTGAAGAAGGCCGGAGGTGGTAATAAATATGGCGGCAACAATGAGGACAATAGTCAGAATAATGTAAAATGTGTACATATTACCTCATCTCAGAAATATAGAGAGACAATAAAATGTATATGTAGGAATTCTCTTTTATTTTATTCACTGGATATTCACCAACGTGTTTGTGTTCGTGTTTGGCGACTTTCAGTTGATTCCCCATGTGAGGAGAAGGATGCTACTCACAGCTCGCATACAGAAACACGGGCACGTAATGAGGAAGGAGGGCTTGGAGAAACTGATACTCATAAGACGGAAAAAACGGTACTGATTTAATATTATCCATCTGAGGAACCTTTCTCCCAACACGGAAACATTCAGTTCCATGGATGATTCTCCCGTTTTTAGCAAGATCCCTATACCATACATTTATATAGGTGCTGCATAAATACGGCTCACGTCTACCTCCCAGAAGTACCTCCCACATAATGGTATTTATGGGAGGTAGCCGTGGGTGTATTCAACCACACCCTCTCATCTATGTGGCTCTTCCGTCGTATAGTTAGCTTGTATTAAAGAAAATCAGCTTTAACCTGCATTTAATTGGAATTACATTTCAGTTAAATAATTACCGTAATTCCCCATGTATAATATGCCTACATCCATAATACGGACATCTAAAATTGTGCTGAAAGTGTGGGAAAATGCTTCTACTCATGCATAATATGCATCCTTTTTTTGGTAATCAAACCCTATAAATTGTGCCTCTTCAATTTCATTTCGGCCAAAGTTTCCTACTCTTATTTTAAAAAACAGGTGCTATCCACCCTAGTCAGGGTGGACCTAGGAATACCCGTAATTAAGAGGTGGTTCCACGCTCCCCAAAATCTCTAGAGGCATTGTGTTGGACGTAGTTTATCGTCTTACCCAGGACACAGATGTAGTTTATTGTCTTACCCAGGACGCGGATGTAGTTTATCGTTTTACCCAGGACGCGGATGTAGTTTATCGTCATACCCAGGACGACTTTCTTATCGACGTAACGTAGCTTCCTTGTATATTTTCTATAAATAATTTTGTGGTAATTGTTCTGATTAACAGATGGGTGGCAAGGTCTCAGCATTTTACAGTTGATGTAACCGTAAGTTTTATGATAACTGTTTTTCTCCCGGACTTCTCGATTGTGGAGCTCTTTTTTTTTCCTCATATTTTCTAATATTTAGTAACCCCTTGCGTCTTAGTGCTTTTATTGATTTACTTAATTAAGATTAACTTCCTGACTATGTCTTTATAACGAGACATCTTTTATGAATTCTATTTAAATCGAGCCACTCAAAATATTGTTCAGCTTCGGAAATTAGAAATCTCTCGACTATGCAAAGAACTTTGAAAAGAATGTGTAGCTCAGAACTCCAGGCACGCGTTGTGTAATTACAACTGACTTTAACATTCAAGGTGTCTCTCATTGAAAGGTAACTGGCTTTCCAACGCATGGAGACAGCCATAAATTCGTAAATGGAATGAAAAAAATGTAGTGACTACTTCATTTATAGCGCTAATGTTGTTACCGTCTTGGCTGTTAACACATCTCACGATGTTAATGGCCATCAACAACGCCATATTGTATATCGTACCAAGACCTGAATACGTCATCTCGTGAGAACGTGACTCGCTTACGACAAGATGTCATGGCGTCTACGAAGCTCGCTTTTCGGCCATTAACAGGCGTAAAATGTCTGCCAAATTGCTTGTAGAACTGCCCCGGGTCGAATTCGTGTATAAATTAGACAGGATGAAATCGTTTATTGTCAAGTTTACTGTTGCACCGGCAAAACATTATTCTTGAAAAAGAGGCAAATGGCTGATAACGTGTCTCCCTTGATTATCAGATCAACCGGTGGATGCGGCTTTTGTGGGACAACTGCGTGACATTCACAAGGATAGAAGCAATTGATATGAGATGGAACATAAAAAGAGCTGTGACACAAGGCAATCAAAAATGAGCTTCATTTCTCGTCACGCACAAATAAATACGTGAATAGGTAACTGACAACTTGATAAATACCAATCGGATCCGCTGTTTTTCGCTTTTCGAAGATTTCCCAGATGAAGACAATGATCAAACTAATAAAAGTAAGTTTTTCAATCTTAAACAAATGTCACTAACCAATACTAAGACAACACTCATAATCAAAGCGAAATATACATTCTGCCAAAAATTTTTAACCTCATGTATCTTCAAATTGTAAGCTTCCATGAATTTCATTTTTCTTCATTGCATTTTCTTCACTTGTTGTTGTTGTTGTTGCTGTTTCTTCTTCTTCTTCTTCTTCTTCTTCTTCTTCTTTTTATTATTATTATCATTATTATTATTTTTATTATTCACAGAGCTATGTCTATTGAGGAAGTAAGTGATCGTGTATTTCTTGTTGTTGTTGTTGTTGTTCTTCTTCTTCTTCTTCTTCTTCCTCTTCTTCTTCTCCTTCTTCTTCTTCTTCTTATTATTATTCACAGAGCTATGTCTATTGAGGAAGTAAGTGATCGTGTATTTCTTGTTGTTGTTGTTGTTGTTGTTGTTGTTCTTGTTCTTCTTGTTCTTCTTCTTTTTCTTCTTCTTCACTGAGCAATGTCCCCTCAGCAAGTAAATGATGTATTTCTCCTCCTCCTCCTCCTTCTTCTTCTTCTTCTTCTTCTTCTTCTTCTTCTTCTTCTTCTTCTTCACTGAGCAATGTCTCCGCAGCAAGTAAATGATGTATTTCTCCTCCTCCTCCTCCTCCTCCTTCTTCTTCTTCTTCTTCTTCTTCTTCTTCTTCTTCTTCTTCTTCTTCTTCTTCTTCTTCACTGAGCCATGTCCCTCAGCAAATAAATGATGTATTTTTCTCCTCCTCCTCCTCTCCTTCTTCTTCTTCTTCTTCACTGAGCCATGTCCCCTCAGCAAGTAAATGATGTATTTCTCCTCCTCCTCCTTCTTCTTCTTCTTCTTCTTCTTCGTTTTCTTCTTCTTCACTGAGCCATGTCCCCTCAGCAAGTAAATGATGTATTTCTCCTCCTCCTCCTTCTTCTTCTTCTTCTTCTTCACTGAGCCATGTCCCCTCAGAAAGGAAATAATGTATTTCTCCTCCTCCTCCTCCCTCTTCTCCTTCTTCTTCTTCCTCTTCACTGAGCCATGTCCCCTCAGCAAGTAAATGATGTATTTCTCCTCCTCCTCCTCCTCCTTCTTCTTCTTCTTCTTCTTCTTCTTCTTCTTCTTCTTCTTCACTGAGCCATGTCCCCTCAGCAAGTAAATGATGTATTTCTCCTCCTCCTCCTTCTCCTCCTCCTCCTTCTTCTTCTTCTTCTTCTTCTTCTTTCTATTTCCCGTAAGAGCACAGGCGACATGACTCTCCACAGATACCTTTCCTTTATATCATTAAATTGCCATGAACTTGGGGAAGAGAGTAGATAAGTTTCCATTGGCCTTCCTAGCGTCTTCTAGAATGGCTCCCAGGTAAGGAAAATGTGCCTAGTTTCTGTCCTATTATCTAATCAATAGTTAAGAGGAGAAGAATTGGATTTATGTCTTTTCCCAGGGCATTAGTCCGAAGTGAACATGACATACACTATCAGAATTTTACTGTCGATGGCAAATGCCACGTTATCCATACATTCAATAAAAGTAAACTCTTACTTTCACTCTCTCTCTCACTCTTTCTCTCTCTCACGCTTTTTTTCGCTTTTTCTGTCTGTCTCTGTCTCTCTCTATAAATATGTATCAAATAATTAATGTATTATAATTAATTAATTATTATTATTATAATATATACTCGTATGAAAAATAGACGCCCTAATTTTATTTTTTATTTTCAACTGTGTATTACGTCTATCAGCACCCAAGAAAAGACGGCTCATGGGAAGATTTGGTGAAGCCAAGGTCCTGGCACCTTCTACGGACGGATTTCTCTGGACTCCTGCTTATTGAATCTTGGATAGTTGCTGTGTTTTTTTTTTAGACTTTAAAGTAGGCTTTCTACCAAATTTGACTGCTAGAGGTTTTTTTTTCTCATGTTGTTGATTGTCCTTGTAGTCTCAAATTTCTTGATCCACAGGTAAATGTCAGTTTTGCTAGGGGTTTTATTCTTGTCATGCTTTTAGCAGAATTTCGCGATGCCACGTTTATAGGAATTTCCCTCCCCCTCCCATTCTCTCAGCACACAGAACATTTTCTGTTTTTCTGTAAAATGCATTGTAGTTGGTGTTCTGGTTTTGTTATCTTCTCGGCTTTCTAAATAAGGTCCCATTCTGTTTGCCTCGGGGTTCTTGATAAGAACCAGAGGCGGATATGCAATATAATTGGCCCTGTTCTGCCATCTCGTCTACAGTCGCTCTCCCACAGACGCGCCGTCGCCTCTCTCTGTCTTTTTTTTTCAAATTTAAATACTTTCATGGCAATTGCTCCGAGGAGCTGCATTCGCTGGTTCCCAGACTTCATGAATTCAAGCGCCCTACGAGGCTGGCATCCCGCTCTCACCCTTTCACTGTCAAAACTCCTAAATGTAGCCGTCTCTTCTACTCCAATAGCTTCATGTCTCGCACCTCTCGCCTGTGGAACCACCTTTCTTATTCCTGTTTCCATGAGAGCTATAATCTCCAACTATTCAAATGTAATGTCAATCGACATATCCAGTTTTCTTGATCTATCCACTATCCTTCTCCTCATCCTTTCCTCTATCACTCCTATCTGATCTTGCTCCAAATCTTCAGTAACCCCTCACGTCCTAGTGGCTTCCCGCCTTGCTTGGGGTGAAATGCTTAAAAAAAAAAAAACTGAAATATAAAAGAAAAATATTTAACATAAACAAAATTGGATACGTTTATTGGGATTACATTCATACTGATCCACACTTTACCTTTTAAATTATATCATTAATACATTTAAAAACAAACTCAAACGGCGTTTGATGAACTATTGCAATGATGTATAGATAATGTCTTCGATTTACAAAATGTGTTAAAACGATATGCACAAAATATTTTTCCAAAAAGATTACCCTGATTTTATGACAAAAATTGAGATATATTCTTACCGTCACTCTTGAATATTAAAAAGAAGAAAACAGCAAAAGAAGTCTCAGTTAAAAGAAGGACAGTGTAGCGACTGGTGTACATAAGTTAGCTTATCTTATGGTTCAAACAGCGCCATGATTGTTGAAAAGGAGTAGAGGTTTATCCCTTGTTTTCTGTTCTCTTCTAACGTCTGCGGCAGAAGTCTGGAATTTCATTCTCTAATTAAATCTTGACCTCTTCAAGTCTAGAATTAACATTTTTCTTTCCTGCATAGCGCCAAGAACCTCACTTCTTGACCTTTCTTATGCTCATACGACTATACACACTAACTTGAGTGGCTCTTAGGGCTTGTATTTTTTTTTAATATTAGTAAAAAAAAAAGAATCAAAATTTTTTTCGGAAACAAGGTGACTTGCTGTAAATTTTGGATTCTCGAATACTGAATCTCAGTGTAAAACAGCGTTTCTAAATCTTGAGTTACTTGCAGTCCATTTTTGGAGCCCCCCCCCAAAAAAAAATCTGGCCCAAATTAACACAAACAGAAGTTCCATATAACACGAAATACACTTTTAATTACGAAAACCAAATGTAGTAGGAAATAGAAATCCTGACTAATGACGCCACGGCTCCTGGTGTCTATCTATCGATATAAGTTCAAAGCCTTGATTTCAGCTTCAGGGAAAAGTCTCTTCTCTTACACTTACACTTCCAGGCCCATTTTTAAAAATTTTTTCAAGCTTACTTGTGACCCTAAGGGCCCACGTTGAGAAGCATTGGTCTAAAACATAATCAAAGAGCACTCACTGGCGATTTTTCAAGACACAAATTTGGCAGACAGCGCCTCTGTCAAATGAAGTGGATTAATTTTTGAAAGCCTATCGACAAATCGATTTTTGAAAAATTCTAATTTGTTCACGAGGCTAATATAACCGACTTTCAATTTAAATTGTTGAATTGTATAAACAGTGGTTTGAAATGTGGGTAGATTTATAGGTTAATAGCGCCAAAAATGGAATCAACATTGTAGTGCCTTTTGGAAAATCATCAGTCAATCAATCACTTCAAATATTGGGTTGTTCGTAAAATAATGCCCGATTTTAGAATAAACCTTTTAATTGTTTTCTAGTATCATGATAGTAGCACAAAAATATATTACGCATTCCTAATGATTAAAGCGCCCTCTTTGTTAATGTTATAGCAATCTGTTTCAGAATTTAGTTTAAAAATATATTAGTCATTCCTAATGATTAAAGTGTCTTCTTTGTTAAAATACCAATCTTTTTCCGAATTTTGCTTAAAAAATTATTACGCATTTCTAATAATTAATGTGCCCTCTTCGTTAATATACCAATTTCTTTTAGAAGAGAGATTACAAAATATCTTAAGCATTCCTAATTATTAAAATGCACTCTTTGCTAATATACCAATCTCTTTCCGAATTTAGCTTAAAAATTTATTACGCATTCCTAATAATTAATAAGTCCTCTTCGTTAATATTATACCACTCTCTTTCAGAATTTAGCTTAAAAATTTCCAATGATTAAAGTATCCTCTTTGTTAATAATACAAATTTAACTTAAAAAAATTATTACGCTTTCTTAATGATTAAAGTGACCTCTTCGTTAATATTATACAAATCTCTTTCAGAATTTATCTTAAAACATTATGTACCCCGTATACTGAAGATGAAAATAGAAGAGCTACCTCTTTCGTCTTTTGAGTGAATACAAGTTTGGTCATAATGCTTCTCAAATTACTGCCAACATTAACAAAGCATGGCTTGAAGGATCCACTTGTGATGAGACAGAATGGCAATGAGGAAACGAGTCTTGAAGTTCAAGTTGGTAGAGGACATCCATCTGCAGTTGGCAATCAACATCTGAAACAAAAAACTCACAAGTCAAACAAAACCCACGTCACAGTGTCATAGAAATATACACTGGAAAATAGTATTATGTTGTTGGGAAATAATTTCATTTTAAAATAAACCTTTCGTCTTCCAATATCGTATTATTATTAGAGTTGTACAAAAATATATTACTCATTCCTAATGATAATAGTGTTCTATTTGTTAATTTTGTATCAAGCTTTTTCAGAATTTAACTTAAAATATTATATAGTCCTCATTTTGAACATGAAAAAGAAAAGATGCATTTATGTTGTTTGTTTGAGTTTAAGCTTAGTCATAATGTTTCTGAAACTGCTGTCATCCTTAGCAGAGGATTGGGTGAAGGTTTCACTTGTAATCCAACAGTAAAATGATGGTTTCTGAAATTCCGCAGTGGCGATAAGGGCCTTGAAGTCCAAAGTGATAGAGGGCGTTCACCTGTAATTGAAAATCAACATCGGAAAACACTAGTTGAACAAATGCCACGTCAAAGTGTCAGAGAAATATCTCAGTTAATGGGTGTCAGCATTTCAAGAATATCGAACCATCTCAAGAAAAATGGTAAGGTGAAGAAGCTCAATAAATGGGTTCCCCTAAGTTCGACGTTTTCAAGTGTGCCCTATGCTGCCTCAGCGAAATTCGAATAATTCACTTCTTGATGGAATAGCGACTTGCGATGAGAAACGGAGCCTTTGACTATCGTAAACGACTGGCTCAATTGCTTAATCATTTCAAAGCATTTTCTAAAACCGAAATTGCACCAATAAAAATTATGGTGGCTGTCTTGTGGACCGCCATTGGCATTATCCCTTAGAGCTCCTATTCCTGCAATCTAACCAGAGCAACTGGATGAATTGCCCGTTCATTTAAGCAAAATGCACTCGGCACAGGGTAATCAACGAGGTCTAGTTCTGTTTCATGCTAATGCTTGGCCACATATTGCCTGGATGGCACTATAGAACTTCGCCGACTTGGGATACGAGACTCACCTTATCTCCCAACTTTTTCAACCATCTGGACAATTTTTAAAACCAAAAGACATTCTGTTGCGAAGAAGATGCATAAACTGCATTCAAAGATTTACTGGACTCCAAACCTCTCGAGTTTCATCGTAAAGGCATAAATTACCTTGTAGCTCGATGACAGAAAACTATAGGCGTTCGGGGTTCCTGTTTTGACTGATTTAAACATTGTTTAAATACATTCAATCAGGTATCAATGTTGAATCTAAAAATCGAACTTATGTAAATTATTTGAAACAACCGCTTTAGTTTTCCTTCTTTCACCATACGGTCAGTTTTAAACCTGCTGGTGTGACAAGGTATAATCGATTTCTATTTTTTCCTCGGATTAGGTCATTTGCAGTGGTGTGCAGTAACATGAATCTATTTTCGTGGTGTATGATGAAATTTATTTGACCTTAAAAAA